GCTTTAGAGAAGTGAAAGGGATTAGCCAGTTCAGCTATAGCAATGGGATGCTCAGCAGGGGCCTAACAGGAAAGGTAACTGGTGATCCCAGTGAGGTATGTGAAGGCCTCTTTAGTTATAGAAACAGAAAAATTCTGAGCTCTCATTATTATTATTATTATTGAGACATGTAGACCAGGGTGGTCTCAAACTCAGAGCTCCACCTGCCTTTGCCTCCTGCAGGAGTGCTTGGACTTAAAGGTGGGCACCAACATGCTTTACTTTATTTATCTTGTTTTTTCAAGATAGGGTTTCTCTGTGTAACAAGACCTGGACTCACTTTGTAGACCAGGCTGGCCTCGAACTCATAGAGATCCGCCAGTCTCTGCTTCCTGGGATTAAAGGTGGGCACCATTATGCTTTATTTTTATGTATGTATTTATTCTGGGGTTTTCAAGATTGGGTTTCTCTGTGTAACCATTGCTGTCCTGGAACTCACTCTGTAGACTAGGCTGGACTACCACTAAGAGATCTGTCTGCCTCTGTCTCCTGAATGCTAGGACTAAAGGCATACATTACCATGCCCAGTCCCTTGGCTTGTCTTGCTTGATTCTTAAATGGGTGTTTTCCTAAAGCACTGGCTGTTTGTTAATATTGGCTCACTGAATTACACAGATCTTCCAAGTGCTGAAGTGCTGGTATATTTATTTGCAGCATAACATTCCCAATTTTTATTAAATTTTGTCAGGACTATTTGGTAAGTAGATATATTTTTCTCCTCCTCCTGAGATTAGTCGTATGTACCACCATGTCTAATATTTCCTAAAAATTAGAATTTTCAGGAAGTTGAATTTTATTGTTGACAAAAAAAATTCAGGTGTATTAAACTGTGCATTCTACTAAATAACCCAGTATTCATGAATATAGCATGCTCAGGCATTCTTTCCAGTAAAAATTGTGTCCCATGAATAAAGCGGCTTTTAGTTCACAACTCAATCGAACAAATACTTTGCCATAGATTCTGTTAAAGTACCACTTTTCCATTTAATCACAGAGACAATGAAGAAAACAATTTCCTGGCAAGTGTAGAGTTACATGTCTAGTAGAATCCCTGTATCTGGAAAGCTGATGCAAGAGGCTCATACGTTGGAGGTCAGCTTGTATTACACATTTAGACCCTGCCTCAAATAATGCTAATACAAATGTAGGGCTAAGGGACTGGTAGGAGAGGCATAGAGGCTAACATACCCCAAATAAAACAAGAGTTTAAATATGATGGCAACAGTCAGGGGCTGTGACACATGCCTGGAGTTCCAGGCCAGCCAAGGCTACACAGAGAAACCCTGTCTACAGGGTCCAGATCAGCCAAGGATATACAGAGAAACTCTGTCCCGAAAAATAAAACAAAAAAGAACGAGTGCATCAAATCCCATATTGTAGAAGTAGAGAACTGACTCCCCAAATTGTCTGTCTCACTAACCTCAATAGGTATTTTGTGGCTGATACACAACTCTCTCTTTCTCTCTTTCATGGAATAATTAAAAACAATCTTTTTGAGTGAAGGTCTTGACATTATTGGGGTTACCTTCTGGGGTTTTTAGTCTCCATCTTTAATCCCAGCACTCAGGAGGCAGAGGCAGGCAGATCTTTGAGTTTGAGGCCAGCCTGGTCTATAGAATGAGTTCTAGGATAGCCAGGGGCTACAAAGAGAAACCCTGTCTCGAAAAAAACCCAAAACCTAGGGGGCTGGAGAGATGGCTTAGTTGTTAAGAAGTCTGGCTGCCTTTCAAGAGGACTTCGGTTCAATTCCTGGAACCCACATGGCAGCTTACAAGTGTCTTCTACTCCAATTCTAGGGAATTGAACACACAGACATACATGCAGGCAAAACACCCATGTTAATAAAATAAAAACAAATAAATTAAAAAAAGAAAAAACCCAACAAAAAACAAAAGCTAAGCAAGCAAGCAAGCAAACAAACAAAAATACCCAAAACCAAAACCAACTATCCAAACAAAAAGAAGCATGTCTTTAACTCCAATATTCTTTTCTGAGGCCAGGCTGGTCTACCCATGAGTTCTGGGCCTACTAAAGCTACAGTGAGACCCAGTCCCAAAAACAAAAAGAAAAGAAAAACCCCAAGGCAGTCAAGCTCTGAATTCAGCAGCTATCAGGAGGAGATAAGAGGGAAAAGGCATTTAAGGTGACATGGAGGTCAGAAACATAGAGAATAAACAGTCATACAGTTGAAAGCCTTATTAAGGATGCCCAAAATGTTGAAAGAGCCCAAGTAGTAAGGAAAAGCATGGTTAGCAACAGAGAAAAGTAAAATTATATTTTTCTGAGTAATTTGGAAAAGTGGAAAAAAAAAAAAGAAAAGTGGGCAAACTTACAACTTTGCATAGCTGCCACTCAGCTCCTTAGCTACTGCACTAGAGGTGGAGATTCTGGGAAGGAAAAGCACCGTATGTCATTAAAGAATTATTCCACCATCTCTTTAGTATGGCTTAAGGTGGTCCCTTAGCCAAAGTTACTGAACCAGCCCAGCTGGAATGTCAGGTCTCCACCCAGAACAGAGATTTCATTCTTTTGACCAGAAGTGTTTTTTTTTTTTTCCTTCTAGGCTGACCTCAAACTCCCCTGCCCTAGCTTCCCAAGTAGCTGAGGTTAAGGAAGTAAGCGACCATGCCCAGATCACAATGACTGATTTATAGGTCAGTTACAAAGATGGCGGAGATTTACATATGCTCTCTACTCACCCTCTGTTAGTGTGAATAAATTGTAAAGTACCTTGGTGCTTTGCCAAGACTAAGACATTAAATTAACATTTTGATAACACTACTCAGGAAATTATTCAGACATCACTAATTACATTCTTTTGGTTCTCTAGAATGTTAATAGAATGAATTTCAAAAGTGGGAATGCAGTTAAATTATTACTTACATTAAAAAATTCACAAATGAGAGCCTGGTGTAGTGGTGGTGTCTGTCTATAGTCTCAGCACTGAGGAAGCTGAGTCAGTTCTGTTTGTGGACAATCTGAGTTGTATAATAAGCACTTGTCTACACATAAACACACACACACAAACACAGAGCACTTATACAACCTGGCTGAACTGTAGGCCATTTATACTGCACATTCTTGGCATGCACAGGCCTTGGGTTCAAGCTTCAGCACAGAAAAAACATGACCAGGTCCCTTTGAAAAAACAAAGAAATTGTTTCCCCTGTTTGAATTTTGTTAGGTTTCTTAAGGTTAGAGTGTGATAAAAAGTGTTTTAAGCTGGATGCTATGGCAAAAGCCTGTACTTTCTGGCACTCAGGAAGGCAGAGGCAGGTAGAGCTCAGAGTTCAGTCTGCTCTACAAAATGAATCCAGGAGACCAAGACTACACAGAGAAAACCCCTCTCAAAAAAAAACCAACCAACCGACCAACCAAAGTGTTTTAAGTTGTATTGGCACAAATACCTACAGCATTTCCAAATTTGTATCATGGCAAAAATTCCTTGTAGTGTTTAGTTACACAGTATATAGTTGGCCCCCTTTATAACCACTAGGGGGCTCTGCTACAAGATCTTTTATAATTTATCAGTTTATTCAGGGAAATGTCAGATGACATTTAAGAATTTTGAACTCCCGTCACGGTGGTGCAAGCCTGTAATTCCAGCATTAGGTGAGGCAGAGCCAGGTGGATCTCTGCGTTAGAGGACAGCTGGTCTACAAGCGAGTCTAAGACAGCCAAGGCTACACAGAGAAACCCTGTCTCAAAAAGCCAGGAAAAAAAAAAAAAAAAAAAAAAAAGGCTAAACAACCTCCTTATTTCACAGACGAGGGTTGCTGCAGTACTCTTAGACTGGTCTCGAACTCATGATCCTCCTGCTTCTGGGATTATAAGTGTGTACCACCACACTCAGCTCGTATTAAGATATTTTTAACTGATTCATTATGTGAAGTAATACATGAAACATACTCCCCCTAAAATAACACCTTATTTCGAAGTGTTTTCAAAGTACCTATCAGCACCCAAACTATATTATTCTCTTTAAACTCTACTAACCACTTTCAAATCGTCTTTCAACATTGTTGCTTATTTAAAACATTTTGCTCTTTTATCTTTTCTCCAATTATATCTACTCACTACTTACTGAAACCTACCAGGGCCAAACACCTTGGTAGGTCAAAAGCTCCTTCGTTCTCCCAAGGAGTTTCTATTTCTCCAACTTTCACTATTATATATACAAATTTTCACGCGCTCAATTCAGCCATTCTCACAGCGTGGTCGATGAAGAACAGGCAGCAGGGAGCTTGCTGGGAATGCAAATTCTTAGGCCCATCCATACTTCAGGGATACTGCCTAGCAATCTAACAAGTTCTCCAGGGATTCTGAAGCATCTTCAAATTTGAAAAACATGTTAGTTCGTTCTACAGCTCAGAACTCATTATCTAAACAGGTCAAAGATTAACTTCCGGAGTTTAAACCCACCACAAGCCTTTCCCTGGCAATCCCTGTATCAATTACAACCAGTGGGGTGCAACCATTACACAACCTTAATATAGCTGCAATACCTGAGATGACCGAATAATAGTTGCGTATCATGGTTCCAGAACAAAAGCTACGGCAGTGGATTTCCCAGGGCTTTACCAACGGACGCTGGGCAGGACCGAGTTTGTTCCTGCATAGCTTTTTCCTCGGCTAGACTTAGGGAAGCACCTCAAGCAGAGTTAGAGCGGGGCTCAGGCCGGGTGGGGCCGGGGGAACCCGCCAGGTGGGGCTCCCACCTCGGGTGCGGGCCTCGGGACTGGAGGCCTCACCGTAAAAGGGGAGGCCGGCCAGGGCACGACCTGCCAGCCCCAGACCCCGCTGACCGGCGCGCAAGCCGCACCCTCCGGGCCCCAGACGCCGGCAGGGCGGAGCCACGCGGCTGAAGCCCCGGCTGAGACGCGCGGCGCGGCGCGGGCTCGCTGCTGAGACGTATGGGGCTACGACTGGAGCGGCTGCGCCGCCCGCCCGGGTCAGCGTGGTGCGCATGCGCGGATCCGGCGCCATTTTGGTGGCCGGGCGCGGAGGTGATTCTACACTGAGGGGGAACGCGGCGGCAAGGGTGGCAGTGGCAGCGTTCGTGTGCTCGGGTCTGACTCACTGAGGGAGGAGGCGGTGGAGGAAGAGGTGGCGGCGGTGGCGGTGGTCGTAGCGGTGGCGGAGGAGGCGGGTACGAATCAGCTGCGGGCAGAGACATGGCCAACATCGCGGTGCAGCGAATCAAGCGGGAGTTCAAGGAGGTGCTGAAGAGCGAGGAGGTCAGAAATGATCTACCGGACACCCCCATCTCAGCCCAGGGCGGGGGGGTCCCCTTCCTTCCGCGACCCCGATGGCCGGAACTGGCCTCTCTGCGGCCGCCTTTCTGCCTACGGGGAAGCGGCCGTCTCCCCTCCTCCTCCCGCCGCCTTTCTCTCCCCTCCCGGGCCCTGGGATAGACGGTCTCGCGGGCGGCCGGCCTGGGGAGGAATAGGGTTTGGGGGTCAAAAGCAGAAGCAGTGGTCGGGGGCACGTGATCTCTAGAGAGAGCCCCGAGGCGGCGGCAACATCTGGAAGTGTGGCTGTGGGGTGGGGAAGGAGTAGGCCGAGAAAACCCGGGAAGTGGGTTGGGGGAAGGGGAAAGGTAGTAACTAGATCCCCGGCAGCAGGCACCTCACAGGGTCACGCATTTAGGGGACTCTGGATATTGTCTGCCAGGCCTTTGCTGTCTTTTCCTTGGGAAAGGAGCCTACAGAGCCCGTAGGTATGGACGAAAGGAAGACATTCAGATACTCCCTTATAGCACAGTGTTGGGGGACTCATGGAGACATAATAGGCAGTATCGTATTGGGAAAGGGCGTTGAAGCAATTTTAACTGTAGATAGAAAAATAATTCAAAATTAGACACGTACCCAGCCAGTAACTAGGCCTCATCATTGACACTTAAAGCTTTTTGTCTGATCAGAGGCAAGTTGTTTGTTAGGGTAAATGATTTGAATTAGGAAAAATAATGGAGTGTATGAGTAGCTTATTTCAAAATACTGTTTACCATTATCAGAGAGGCTTGCCTAGGGCAGTGCCTCTCTGACTAGTGTTGTACTGTGAAACTTCATTATGATGTCCCCATAGTTGAGTCTTACTCTTGAAAAGAGGCCAATTAAAAACAAGGGGTTTCATTAGGTACACAGTGTTGTAGCTCATGATTGAGTTAAGTTTGTTCTGACACAAAATATTATAGCACAAAACAGCATGTTAGAAAATAAAACTGCTACCTGTGAGCCCTGCAGAATTTAGATACATTAATGCTGGCCACATTTATTTATGTGAAATAGTGAAAGTGACAACTTTTTAGACCTAAATCAACAAGAATGCCAGGTTTTCTGTGATTGAATTTAACAACAAAATTTTGGAAATAATTTCTTTCAAGGTTCACATTCCATTGTCAAATAAGTAGTGCTATTTATGTTTTTCTTACATGCTTATTACTTTGATAATGTCAGTAACAATTTTTAAAATTAAGCATTTTAAGTATATGAGTAATTGTTAAAAATCTCATAGTACTCCAGCTTTATTGTGCTACCAAGTTTGCAGATAATTATCCATCTTTCCAGGTAGATATGTAGAAAGTCACTTAAAATTGAAGTGACAATATTAGCAGACTCCGTGAACATACTAAAAAATAAGTAGTGATCTGTCTTATGTAGCATGCACGCTGACCTCTGTATTCATTTGCCAAAACTCTGAATGGAAGGATGACTTTGTATTTTTGTGGAACAATGCAGAAACAGTGTGAATGTTTGTATTCACATAGATTTTAAACAGTGATTTCAACTTTTTATTTAACAAGCAAACTTACTTTGGGCTTGCTGATATATATTCTTAATGAAAGATAACAGCTAATTTTGTTAGTAGCCTAAAACATTTATTCCACAATAAGGTTGTATAAGTCTTTAGACTTCTAGTGTTTTCTTTTATTAAAAAGTGCCAAGTTACTGCTCTGAAAATCAATATATTCTCTTTGCTTTGTGTGATGTGACTTTTCACCATGGTATTTAGTGTTTAAGTAGAAGATTATCAGCATTGTATATTCTAATAATGCATATTATTACTATTCTATTTAAGTAATGGGCTGAGACAATGGCTCCATTGGTAGAGATGGCTTGCCTGATGACCGGAGTTCAGTCCTGAGGGCCCACATGGTAGAAGGTTTTCCTTTGACCTCAACACCCATGTGCAAAATAAAAGCTCATTCTCATCTATGAGATTTAAAAAAAATTTGTCAGTGGTTCTCAGAAAGAAAATAGTAGATGTGAACACAAGTTTTTCAAGAATGGTGCCTTTATAAACCAAGCAGGGAACTTCAAGAAAGTAAATTGCAAAGAATATTTAGAAAAATGTCAGACAAAATTTAATATTGTACAAAACCGAAAAAAAGCTAACACGTAGCTTTATCTTCATCAGTAGTTTATTTCATTGACCTTTTAGTAAGTCTGGTTCCAAAGATAGGCTGTATTGGATTAATTTTTACCCCAATGAAGGACCCATAATGCAGTCTATATATTTCCTTTTTAAGTGCACACAGTAAGCTTTTTTTAAAAAATACTTTTTTAATGTCCATTGGTGTTTTGCCTTCATGTGAGCTTTCATGTGGGTGCTGGGAATTGAACGCAGGCCCTCTGGAAAGAACAGTCAATGCTCTTAACCTCTGAGCCATCTTTCCTACCCCCAAATGTATATTTTTGAATAGCTGATCAACTAACTGTTTTACCATGACATCACATGAAATCTCCAGTGTAACAAGGTTTAATTCATAGTAGTGTTTCAAGATACCATTCATTGTAGTGTTCTAAGATATGGTGGACCTAATGACTTATTTTTGGCCTGTTTTTTAAGTGTTTTTGTAAAGATACACCTGACTTGTCAGAACATACCCTAGATCTGGGAAAGCAGAGCCAGGCAGATCTCTGTGAGTTCCATCCAGTATGTTCAGAGATACATAAAGAGATCATTGGAGAGATGGAGAGATGGAGAGATTGCTCTTGCGGAGCAATTCCCAACAATCACATGGTGGCTCATAACCATCTATAGTGAGATCTGGTGCTCTCTTCTGGTATGCAGTTGTACATGGGGGCATAACCCTGTAAACATAATAAAATAAATCTTAAAAAAAAGTAAAAGTAAAAAAATACAAATAGCTAGTTTACCAGCATTCAGGAGCCAGAGGTAGGGTTAGTCTGCCTATAGAGGGAGTTCCAGGATGGCCAGGGCTGTCAACACAGAGAATCTCTGCCTCAAAAAATAAAACCAACTAAAGATAGCTGACATTCATTGAATATTAATCATAAGAGATTGGTTTTAAGTAGTTACTTGCTATAGTTTAAATAGAAGCCCTTAACCTAAAATGACAGATGAATAGCCAGATACTACGGAGAGGCAGTCACATTCGTGTCAGAAGGGGAGGCATGTTTGCTAGTTCATGTGAAAGGCTTTATGGAAAATTGCTAGAACTTGTTATTTGTTTGTAGGGGAAGTTGCATGACTGGACATGGATTGTAGGCCTCCTGTGGAGTTCGAGTCATGTGAACACTTCAAAGGCAGCTTCTATTTTTTATAAAGTACTATTTGGAGATTGGTCTTTTATCTGTTAGGTATTCTAAAATATGACTGAATTTTGAGTAGTGTTTCAGAGTTGCTCAGAATAGAAAATTTACCCAAAGTACATTATGGTTTTATGAATCAAGTTATATAGGGGAATTGCTAATTGTTAGGGTCAATACATTAAGGCATAATTTATTATTTTTGTGGGTGGGTTATATTATTGCTACCAATTATTGCTGCTGCCATTTACATAATACCTCTTCTATTATTGTTAATAATTGTCTATATTATTGTTAATTCTGCCTTTTTTTGTTTTCTTTTTGAGTTGTTTTGTTTTTGAGACAGGGTTTCTTTGTATTACATTGGCTGTCCTGGAACTTGCTTTTATAGACCAGGCTGGCATTAAACTCACATAGATCTATCTACTTCTGCTTCTTGAGGTTAAAGGCATCCACTATCATAGCCTGTCTGCTACTTCTCAACAGTAGGTCTTAGAATTAGATCACCTATTTTTTAATTCAGAAAATTGAGAGAAGTTAAATTATTTGGCTGTAAATATGGCTTTAGAATTTGGATTGATATAAAATATACTGTCATGGCTTGGTAAGGATAGGCATTCTTTCAATTATTAAAATTGGACCTACATTTTTATTGCTTGTAATACTTTGTATTGTTAAAGCACTTAAGCACAAGTTAGTTAATGTTAGTATAAACTCATTAAGTGGTACCTATAAAGGTTTACTTGAATTTCAACGTAAGATTTTTTTTTAGGTTTATTTATTATATATACAATATTCTGTCTGTATGTAGACCTGTATGCCAGAAAAGGGCACTGGATCTCATTATAGATGGTTGTGAGCCACCATGTGGTTGCTGGGTATTGAACTCATGACCTCTGGAAGAGCAACCAGTGCTCCTAACATCTGAGCCATCTCTCCAGCCCCAACATAAAATATTTTTAAATTTGAAGGTCAGTGATATAAACTGGCCTTAAATCAATGTATACCAATTGGTTTATATTTATAGTCATGATACCAGTTATTTTTTTCATAATTCTTAGCTACAGTTTGTTTAGAATTTACATATTTAAATTCTAAATATTTAAATATTGAATATCTAAATCTGTGGTATAAGCAGTTTGTTTCATGAAATTGTTTTGTATGTTAAGTTTTCCTTTATTTACTGTATTTGATCTGGTTTGGCCTAGATTATTTTATTTTATTTTATTTTTGAGACAGGGTTTCTCTGTGTAGCTCTGGTTGTCCTGGAACTCACTCTGTAGGCCATGCTGGCCTGAACTTAGAGATCCGCCTGCCTCTGTCTCCCAAGCGCTGGATTAAAGGAGTGCGCCATCACCGCCTGAGCTGCCTAGATTATTTTGTATGTAAGTAGCTTGTGAACTACTACAAAAGCTTGTAAGTAGCTTTTGATTTCTGTAGGGCATAGATAATTTCTTTTTTCTTTTTTTTTTTTTTTTTTGGCTGTCCTGACTCACTTTGTAGACCAGGATATCCTCAACTCACAGAGCTGCATCTGCTTCTGCTTCCTCCTGCCTGGGATGAAAGGCATGTGCCACCATACCTTCCTAGGGCATAGTTTCTTAACTATTGGAATTATTGAAGTATTGAGCAAACAGTTTTTTTTTTTTAAATTTTTATTTTTTTTTTTTTATTTATTTTGAGTA